TTTAATTACCTTACGTAGTACGTACGTAGTCCTACACTAACGTACTTTTTACCTATATCTATATATATATATATATATATATATATATATATATATATAAATAAAAGCATCTACAAAACACCTATATGTGAAGTTCTACAATATTTCACCTACGTCTTATCACCGTCTAAAGTTCACACAGTCATAATTGTCCAGTAGCATTTGAATTTTTATAATTATTGTACTAATCAGACTTATAAAAAATTTGGACGTGTGTACATATGATCAAGTTTCACCAAAATAAAATATGAAAAAAAACATAGTCATAAAATAAAATGATGAAATTACCCTTGAAAATTTATAGGTGTATTTTGCGTAATTTTTATCAATCAAATTATTTGTTTTATATTTTATTCATGTGAATCTCACTAAGGCGCATACACTTATAAAATTTCAAATTATTATGATTTGTTAAAAAAATATTAAAATTCAAACACTATCAGACATCACCGTATGATAAATTTTGAACAGTGATAAAGCTATAGGTTAAGTACCGTAAAACTTCACTTATAGATGTTTTGTAGTGTTTTTTTATATATATATATATATGATTGCCTCAAATGTTGAGAACTTATATTGGATGTGGTTTTCTTATAGATGTTTTGTAGTGTTTTTTTATATATATATATATATATATATATATGATTGCCTCAAATGTTGAGAACTTATATTGGATGTGGTTTTCGTATGACTTTAGCATGATGATATTTCGTAAAGGTGCACCTCAAAACCCAGATCCAACATTACAAACTCCTGTGATGACTTGCAACTCCATTCTGCCATTGACTATAGATTCTGGAGCTCTAAATATAGTGCAAATGAAATTATTCATCGAAATGTTTGCGAAATAATTTGTATTATATCGAATTATTGAAGAGAAAATTTTGGCTCAACCACCAGATCATGAATATGAATATAAAAAAAATTGATTTTTGAATCTTAGAAATAAACTTAAATGGGGCAATTAACCACCATTCATTTTAAGTACACGGATAATGAGATCTCTACTACTTTTTGAATTGCACATTGATGGCCTGAAAAGACAACCAAAGTGACCTAGGTTGTGTTTTGGATCCTAAGTCTATCTGCAAGGATTTTTAGGAGGGACTACATTTTATAAGACATTATTTGAATTTGTCTTTTGAGTTGTGCCTTTTCTCTCAAATTGGAGGTAACAAAGATTTTCTATTAGTGCCTGCTCTGTCTTGCAACGCACAAACTTCTGTATCTCAACTCTCCCAAGATACTTTGATTTCCATGTCTGCAACTCTCTCTAATCTTGTCTTTTGTTTCTCCAACCATGCTGCAACTGCTCTTTCTCACCGTCCTCAAAAGTATGGAGTGAGCCATCTAGTGAGCCAAATCGGTGCCGCATTCTTCTTCACCCCTCTCATTCTTCATTGGACTCGCGACGGACTCAAAGGGTGAGCCTCGAAGAAGCTCATAAATTTGGAGGTTGTACTAATTCTAGTTATATTGTCCAAAACAATAAGATTTCAAAGCGATCCTATATATGAAAATAATAGGTAGAGTAATCCAATAAAATTTCAAAATGATAGTATAGAGTAACCCAATGAAAGATTTTTTATTTATTTTTTAAACCAAAAGCGTCATTGTAAAGAGCTAGAGAGATTCAATTATATCAAAGAATTAGGCAATTAGGAATTGAGTTTGAGATTTGAATTTGCTTAATAATTTTGTTGTGCTTTTTTTTTTTTAATTGTATAGGGAAGTTTGATTAATTTTATTTTATTGATTTATACAACATAGCATTTTGTATGGACCATTATTTTACGTATTTGGGTCTTTATGTTTTGTTTTAGTTGACTGTAATCCTAGAGGATATATATTTTTTTTCTTTGAAAATAATTCTATACTTTAGTTTATAGTTCTTGTTGTTTATTAATGTAGTTGTTGTGTTTAATATTCTTGTTGTTGTTTCATTTTATACTCTTAATAAATCTATGATTGTGTTGTGACAACAAAATAAGCATTGCTGTTGAATTTATTCAAAGTTCAGCAAAAAATTATCGAGTATTACTCTAGTGACACTAAGTCAGGCTATAAAATTATTATTCAATGGTTTTAATGTATCTATACGATGAATGCAAATTATAATCCTATATTTTGCCAAATTTACATAGCCAATATTTTCACTCCATTTTTTTAAGCGATCCGAAATATTCACGATTTTATAACTCACTTTGTTTTTTGACAATCAATATTTTTAACTCAATTTTTTCTTCTAACTTTTTGAAATAAAACCAATTTATTGTCGATGGTTTGATTTATCAATAAATTATTGAAAAAAAACTAACAATAGCTGGATAGCTATGATCATATAGGTAGAAATCCAGCCGTCAGATCTTCATCATGTGGTTTAGAATGTATATCATTTTATGAATTTTAATATTTTTTTCTAAAAAACAGATCATAATGAAATTTTAGACGTGTGTATTAAAAAATAAGAGGCACAAATAAAAAATATAATTTTTTTTTCTAAAATATAAAATGACTTAAATACCCTTAAAAAAATGATGGGGTAATTTGATCATTTTAAATTAGTAAAAATAAATTTTTTTATATATTTTTATATGGTATATATCAAAAATTTTATTTTAATCAGATTTATAAAAAATAAATTAAAATTTATTTAATAATGTACATTATGATATATTATATTACTATTCATTATAGCTAATTACTTTAAATTATTATCCCTGACTTCCTAACTATGGTCAATCATAAATACATTAAAACCATGCGGGAAATCCTTAACCAACTTTTGCGTAATGTTGCACCAGTGAAAAAGTTAAACTAAAAATCATGTAAAAAGGTGTATACGGTTTCCCCATATAAATCTCTTGATTGAAAGAGTGCGTGCAAAATTGGTCCTCAATATTATCTTCTTTTCATAGAAAACCTCTAAATTCTGGTTCAGATTATTCACTTTTGCAAGTTGTTTCGTTTTATCTTAAGATTTGAAGAATGTCCCTTTCGGTTAAACTCATAAACCTTAAAGCATGTCAGATAAATTCAGAAAAAAACAGCCGTTAAATTCAGAAAAATATCCAATGGCATGAGAGAAAAACATTAGGGCTTCAGAAAACTTAGACTTTTATCAAATAACATTTTACGTACGAAATTTGAAATGTGTTTACTAGTTCACAGTTTATAGAGAACTCATATTAATGACGATTAGGGCTTCAGATTGTATTTAGCTCAGAGAGACAGTGAGAGAGAGAGCGCCATTAGCGTTTAAAGGAATATTACGTACAAATTTTTAAAAGTGTTTACTACATTACTGTTTGTAGAGAACTTATGTAATGAAGATTAGGGTTTCTTATATGCATCTATAGGTTTGAGAGAGAGAGAGAGACATAGAAGAGAGAGAGCACCTTGTCTTCGTTATCACCGTGCAGGATGTATCAAGAAGACAGATTTTGTGTTCACGATGAGGAGGACGGTGGCCAAAGCTTCTTCAAGATCATGCTCGGCAATTTTTCCAAGCAACTGGTAAAAACCTTGAATCATGCCCTCCAGCTCTTTCTAAAACTTTCATGGCTGTTTGAGACTCGCTCTAAAACTTGCATGGCTGTTTGAGTCTTTCTCTCTCTAAAATTTTCATGGTTTTCATTCTCTCTCTAAAACTTTCATGGTTTTTTGAATCTCTCTCTTTCTGATTAGTTATTTCTGTCTCTTGTTTTGCTTTCCTTATTTTCTGTTTTTTTACTGAAGAGTTATCATTTGTTGTTTCTTCTCTGCTTCCCTTTCTATTGATGAGCAATGGACGCATAGAAGTAGATCTAAGCTTATTAATTTCTCTTACTTTCTCTCTACACTCTACATAACTTGTCTTTTTTGACAATGTTCACAGTATAACTCTCTCTTCTTCCTCTAAAAATACTCATCCCCTCCTCTCTCTCTCTCTCTCTCTAACTGGAGACCAAAGCCCCATAAAAGCATTCAAACCTGCGACTTAGGATCGGCATGGACCTTTTTGCCTTTTCCCCTTGTTCTTTTACAGTTTTACCTTTAAAAAAAGAAAAGAAAAGAAAAAGTAAACTTTTGAGAGCACATTAACTTTTTATGGTAAACTTTGACATACTCACTTTAAAGAAGGATTGTTTAAACTTCGGATTTTTTATCTAAAATTTTAGGGATTTATCATCCAAGCCAGGTGATGAAAAAAAATTCAAACTTGAAATTTACTTTTTTTTTTGGGATGTTTTTGGCACCGTTCATATCTAAATTGACCCTGTGCGCTTTACACACCCAGAAGGACATTAAAGAGTCAGTGTGCTCTTGCACCTTTTCACCTGTTGACTCGTAGAACATTTTTCCAAATATTATATCAAGGGGTTTCTATGAGTCCCAGAGTCATATGCAGAAATGGCCCCCCTTCTCCCCTTAATAATTTATTTTTGAAATTACCTTGATTTTTAAGGAATATACCATCGCTAGTGGAGATCATTAATGTATTAAAAAAAAGTAGAAAATAAAAGTAATAATTTTTAGGAAATTTTTTCAAGGCATTCGTTTTACCTTTTCCTCGGGGGGATAATCACTTATATCCATCATTAGATAGATGGTTTGCACCCCAACACATAAACTATTATTTATTCTGACTTTTTTTTATTTTATTTTTTTATTTTAATATTTTTGTACACAAAAACACGAGGAAAAAGAAAAATAGTAATTTTTGGGTGTGAATATTAAATAGATGGGTGAAAATGGAAAGAATCTCCAGATGAATAATGCGTGTAATTTTTTTTGGCTAGGAAATCTGATATATTTTTTTAACGATTTTCCTAAATATTCTTTTAGAAAATAATGAAATGAAGAGGGAAAAAGTTTTAATTGAAAAGGTCTGCTATTCTCGGTTATATTTTGCTCTATTTCAGAAATACATGGGCTTTTTTAGGTGGGAATGGCAAATACATGGGTGAAAATGGAAAAATGCCGTGCTTAAATATAACATGTATGAGGGAGTACAACGTACTTCTGGGGGCGCACACTATACATTTACTTCCTTGAGCATTGGAGCTAGTCATGAGTATTTCTCAAGATTTACTTTAGAATCACTAAATGGGTATTTCTAAAGGGTGCGGTTTGTATAGAGCTTAGGTTCTAAACAATCAAATTAGAGCCTACCTTCAAGTAGTGTCGAGAAATATGGTTTCGCTACTGAAAATCTTTGTGATAGCCTTAAAATATATTTTCATATTTATTTGTAAAGTTTATTGCTTCAAAAATAGTGTAGATCAACTGATCTATGAAAACTTGAAAATCGTGAAAATTGATTGTCCAAAACTGCATTACAAAATACACTATTTCCAAAACTGGAAATCGATTTTTTTCTCATGTCCATACATCTTGATGTCGGGATGATCAATTTGAAGATATTTGAGCATCAAAACAACCTCTTCTAGTGAAATTTTTTAGGTAGGCTCAAATTTGATTGTTTAGAGCCTCGGCTCTATATAAACTTCTCCCATTTCTAAAAGAACCATTTTTTTTTTAATTTTTTTTGAACTTTCTAATCCTTCCAAAGTTAGACAAATCTCTTTTTTCAAACTTTAGCTTTTAGAGCTATATTTTTTCATATGCACATAGAGTATGAATATTTTCCTCTCTCTCTCTCTCTTTTTTCCTACGACTAGCCTTGCTAGATAAAGGACATCACGTGCCTAAAATTTGAGTTCCACAATTACTCCTAGATAAAGTTTTACTCGAGGGAGTGAATGGACAATATGCTCCGGTGCTTGTGAGAGCACATAAACTTTTGACAGGCAATTTTTTGCACGGATAAAATGGTATTTTGTTTCATTGGTTCATTATTTGCAATGCCATAATGTACTATTATTTGAAGTAGTATTGTATTGTAGATAATGATTTTTTTTAAGTATTACACAAAAGGTTTGTATGCCATGTTAGTACTCGAATTTCTACAGTGCACTAAGCACCTTCCCAACCATCTGTCCCAACAATAGATGGTTTGGCCGGTGGGTGTGCATTTCTATGATGAAAGCGCATCAAATTTTCTGAGTGAATCTGAACAGCAGATCAACACCCCTTTGCCGTCCCTTGTTGACATCTAATAGTTGGGGGAGGTGTTGGCAACGTACAGGAAACTCAAACATTAGCACTAAAACTTTTTCTTATGCAATTGTCAAGTGAATTCTGGCATGATTAGCAGCATTCATGGCATTTTTATGGGTGTTTCTCTTTAAAGTTTTAAGTTTAAATCATATAGTAAAATGAATCATCTTACACATGATTGTAGGTCAAGTTGTCAGATGCATGTTAGTAACTTGGTATGCGTGTGAATGAGCTTTTGCTGCTTTTCTTGTATGTCAATAAATTCTAGAATTGAATAACTTATAGGAAAACAGGATAGAGATAAAAAAGAAATACAAAGAGAAAAACTAAAAGAAAGAAATTATGAGAAAAGTAAGATTTGATAGAGAGTAGGAAGCCATCCAAAATTTGTTTAGAAAGGTTCATGTCATTCTTGTGTATATAACAATGTTCTAAACTTAGGCAAGTTCACTCTGCACTCGGAATCCTCCGAGTTACTCTTACTCGGTATGGTGCTAAGTTCATGTGAGAACGGGCCAAACTGGGCTTTTTCCTGTATTTTATTACCATTACTTGTACAAACTCGATGAAGTCCTTGACATACGTGGCTTAATCAATAAGGAAGACTAAAACTCCTGAGCCTGCCAAATCGTAGCCTTGTTTTTTAACATTGGTTTATAAGTAAGGTATCATGTTACTTATCAAAAGAAGGGCATACTATTTCATCTTTTTCATACAATGTAGTGGTTAAATCAACTTTTGTATTTTTTTAGTTCATTCCACCAGCTTTTCGGCATAACTTCAAGAAAATATTTCATGAAGCTGTCTTGGAGGGCCCAAGTGGAAACAATTGGAATGTTGAAGTTGAAGAAGTTAGGGGTGCCTTGTGTTTCTCTAGAGGATGGAAGAAATTTGTCAAAGACCATTCATTGAATGATGGAGATTTCTTAGTATTTTACTATGATGGTGATACTCATTTTCTTATCAAAATATTTAATAAAACTGGATGTGAGAGAGAGGATGCATTCGATGTTGAGTGCTTTGAGAAACATAGTCCAGTAGAGAAAAATATGCCAGATTGTCCACTAGCCATTGTTGAAGCATCTGAGAACCCTCTTTGTATTGCTGAAAAACAATGGTCTCCAAAGAAGTGTAAGTACCTGTAGAATTATCTGCCATGTGACTGTAGAATATTTTATCAATGATTCTTTTGTTATTGATTTAATTTTTTGCTTGACAAACATGTAGGGCATCGCACATATACTTCAACCACGTCACCGGTCACTGAGAAGCAGAAGGAAGAAGCAATCCAAAAAGCCCAATCATTTAGGACTAATTGTCCGCATTTCGTCGTGCCTATGAGGTGCTCATTAGTTTCCACCACATTCATGGTGGTGAGTGTTTCCTTCTTTTTCCCATGAAAATTGCATGTACTTGCCTTCCATGTTATTGTTTTACCAAAACAATTCAAGGAAATTTTTTCCAAAAATTTTTATGTAGGAAATATTTTAAACTAGGTTTTTATCTGTTTTATAGGGCACAATGTATCAATCTATGAACAATGATTGAGTTGCACACATTCTAGTATACATATAATAGGGTAATATTCTAGTGAATGTAATGTGTTATAACTATTAGCATAAAATTCACAATCTAGTTTTTCACATTCTTTATTTTTCATAGTTCAAATAATTTTGTTCTAACATGGTTGATATATTCTGTAGTCATCTAATAATCTTCTTTTGTCTGAGGAATTTCACTATTGTATCATGAATTATTCCTCTCGTCTTAGTTTTAGTAATGCTTGAAACCTTGCATGCCAATCAATTAGGCACACATTTATTAAGCTAGACTTGTTATTCCTTCAAGTTCAAACATGAAATTGTACATCTTGATTGTAAATTTTTTGTGCCCAAGCTTCTGGGAGGTTGACTCTAAAATTACACAATGGAGGAAGCTCTGGTTCCGTAAGGGGAGCAGGACTACCATTACCCAGGCATGCTTATTTATCACTGAATTCTATCATATAAATAAGGAAGCCAACTTGTTGAGCATGTTATCAAACATGGATATGGATAGGAAACGAGTGGTTAGTGCGTTCCCTTAACTATCCCTTTTTTTTTTTTGTTATTTAGTCTTTTTAATCCTTTTTCAAAAAGCTTTCTTATTCAAGGGATATATCACTAACAAGTATGTCAAAAATAATACATGGAACTGTATCTATTTATCTGGCTATCTATTTATATATCCAAAACAAAAACTTATATTTTCAGCAGTAGACATCTAGGGAAGGTGGTACATCAAAGTAAAAATGATGACAGAAAGTTACCCTTCTAAGAGTATACAAAACAGTTGTCCATGCTACTATAATGGAACAGATGAATGTCATTAGTACAAAAAACTAAAAAATGTCTTAGATTCCCTTCAAGTTCCATATGATAGTCTATTAGTTCCCTTCAAATTAAAACTGGTTTTTGAGAAAATAAGTCAATGGGAAGAAAGTTTGCTTAGAGATTATGGCACTAATGTGGCTTACCATTAGTTACAGTAGTACCATAAATTGTAACTGGAATAGAGTATGTTCAACTCAATTGCAATGAAGTGCTATGGGATAAAAGGTGTGCGCCTTGATCACCCAGACGAGCATGGAGTCAAATGGTGCTACTGAGAGTAGGAGATAGGGTGTCTCACGGTACCTTCTCTCTTAGATAGGTTACTTTGTTTTTTTCAATTGTGTTTGTAAAAGAAAATACATTTAAGGATACTTTCTATAAAACAAAAGCTAATGTACAAGAAAAAAAAGAAGTTGAAGAAACAATTTAACAACCCTATTCAGACATTGACCCGGAATTTGTTGCTTTCCAAACGTTATTGAATATAAGAGAGATATTTGAATGTATGTCAAGTTTTGTTTTAGTCACAAACCAATTCAGATGAACTCACGCTACGTCCTAGGTTCAATTCTTACCAAGGGTAGGGGCCCTCTCCCCACTGACTCACCCAAAAAAACAAATTCAGATGAACTCTTCCATCGTAGAGGAGGATTTTACGAGCTACTGACCCAATTTGTTCCATGAATTTTTCAATGTACGATATCTTCTATCTTAATCAAGACATGGAAAAAAGACCATCAGTTCAAGATGACTATATTTTGAATAATAATCTAAAAGTACAAACTACTATGCAGACCATGAATCTGTCTGAATTGTGACTATTGTGGAGATACTGTGAATCATAACTATTTGTTGGAACTGTGACAAAATGATTTGTTGCTATCATATGACTTTGTTATCATATCATTTGTTGTGTCAAAATTTTTGCTGCTCTATGCTATCTGTCAATGTGAAAACCTGATTAACATATATTTGCTTGGAGCTTGGCCTCTTGCTATTCAATATCACTATTCTCTTGGATTGGGTTGCTAGAGAATATGCTTATGGGAATGGAGGTTGGGGAAGTTTTTAGGAACAGAGAGAAGAGTCATGTAGTCTAAAGGGTAGTTTGAGCTTATTGGTAGAATGGGTTTCTTTGGTACCATTCAATTACTGTTACCTCTATCTGATTGTTTTAAAAAATATTGTTGCAAACTGAAAATTCTACGAAATGTTGGTAAAATGTAAACTTATTAGAGATTAAACCTATAGTAATCACATGGATAAAACTAGTGTGGATTTGGTATGAATGCAATGGGGAGAACTATTGAAAGCTTTCGTATTTAGGTTTGTGTGGATGTTCCAAAAGGGCACTTTTGAGACCGATGAATGATCCAATGCCAAAAAGAGTTTTATTTGGGGGAAGAGTAAGGTGCTACCTCCATTAGAGGTCTTGCAAAGTTCACCAAGATCATGTTGGTATATGTCTTATGATCACAGTAATGGTCAATTTGTCGATAGGCTCTTAGAGAGTCATATTAGGTTGGTAGTGAGGTGACCAAAGAAAGAGGATCCTTGGGGTTCACTGTAAACAAGTTTGGCTTGCTAAGGAATTCAAGACATTGATTCAGTGAGTATTCTCCTTATGATTTTAAATGCCATCATTTTCATCTGAGGAGAAAATAAAGGACATTCTAATGTCATAGTGAAAACAATTGTCTTCAAAATCATCTATCATTCTTGTTACTGGAATGCAATATTGTTACTTTTCAGCAATAGGAAAGCCAGCACTTAATGTCAGTTACCTTTACTCCGAGAAATAGGAAAACCAGCGTCCAATGTAGTATCAATGTGTGTACACGCATGAAGGATTGGTCTTGTTACAATGCTATAGAAGGTAGAAGGTAATTAAGCAATCTATGGTATTTGTGCATGTGTGTGGAGGAATTATCTTGCATGTATATCAATTAAGAAAAGCAAAAATTCTTGCATTTCTAGAAGTGCTATTGAAGGTAATCAACAAATGTTTGTTTTGGGAAAGTACAGCACAGAAGGTAATGAAGCAATCTAAGGTATTTGTGCATGTGTGTGGAGGAATTATCATGCATGTATATCAATTAAGAAAAGGAAAAATTCTTGCATTTCTAGGACTGCTATTGAAGGTAATCAAGGAATGTTTGTTTTGGGAAAGTACAACACCATAGTATGGTGGACTATACTATAACCAGTACTCGGGTTCTTTATCCACACCCCATTTTAACAAAGGAATGGTTGGTGATGTTTAAACCCACAAGATGAATGTCCCTTTGGACCCTGTTACTATAAATCTCCAACCGTCCATCAGTGGCAATAGACAATGGATATAGCTATGGAGTACCATATAACATAGTACACCAGGTTATTTCAAAATTTCATGATTATTTCCCTTTTTGTTTATTCTTGTTTACTATCCTTCTTTTCTAACAAGTTTAGCATTAAGTTGCTTATCTTTGTGCATGTCTAGACAATTCCACAGAAATTCTTAGCTTTGAAGGTCTTGACAAAGGGCCAGGATATCACACTCCAAGTTCCAAAAGTGAAAAATTCATGGCATGCGAAGATGACATGGACCAGGGGAGTTACTAGAATTAGCAGTGGGTGGAAAAAATTTGTGACCAGTAACAATTTGAAGGAAGGTGATGCATGTGTGTTTGCGCTTTCTAGGGCGAGGAATGACACTTTTAACATACACATTTTTAGGGCTTGAAATGGAGCATAAAAATAGAGAAGCACCCCACCAGCCATTCCAAAGTTTACCAAACCAAGCTATATCATATGGCTAGTTGACCAGGTAATGTGATAGTTTGTTCTACTTCTTTACTTAAATCGACATTGAACTCTTGTATGGACTCCTATAATTGAACATGGGCATTTCTTTTTTTTAGGAGGAATGTAGTGTGACTTCTATGACTTTGGAAGACTTGTCTACTTGGAGATGAGAGGCCCATTGGTGCTCTATGTTGAGGTTAAGTGTGGTTGTTGGCTTGAGTATGGATATTTGTTTTCTTAAGGAATTTGTGTGGAAAACTTATAATCTTTGGTTTTGTTTGCTGAAAGATTGTCTCATTTTCTTACCTACTCTCTATCTTTCCCTCTCTCTCTCCCCCTAATATAATTGCTTGTATGTAGCCGTATGTCAATAAAAAAAATTCCATAATGAAATGTTGCAAGTCAACCGAGGCTTTTGCAGAAAACATTTCTTCCATTCCATCGGGTATAACCCTTTCTTCAACAGACGCTTTTTAGGATCTGGGGATATAACCCTTTCATCCCACCTAGCAACCTCAGGAGAAACAAAAAAATTCAAATTCATGTTTGAAAAAAACAGCATTTTAAGAGAGAATGGAGACCATCCAATATTCGAGAATGTTTAAAAACTCAAAACTCTCTTCTTCTTTTTTATATCTAAATTATCTAGTTATTCACTTGGATTGCAAAGTCATAGATCAAAACAACCCTCCTAACTCTTTCGGCGAGGGTTTAAGATAGAATGGAGACTTTCGGCGAGGGTTAAGATAGAAGGGAGACTATCCAATATTTGACAGTGTTCAAGAACTAAAATTCAATTTTTTTTTTTGTAAATAATAATCTTATGGTACTTATATAGATCCCAAATTTATAGATAAAAACAACCCTTTTAATTAGCTCTTTTGTGAGGGTGTAAGTGTATAGCATGCTGCCATGTGAGAATGACATGCGCTCGCTTATTGTAAAATTATAACTGCATTTAAGGACGGGCGTTATATGCTCTCTTATTGTAAAATTATAGTTGCATTTAAGGACGGGCAATGATTTCATCCAACCGTTATAATAATAATATGATGCAACAACCTTAAAAAACTATCTTTTAACTATTTGTTTGATTCAAATTTTGAAATATATACTCTTTTCATTTTAATGAACAATCACAAAGAAGAAAAACTTGAAAACACAACTTAAAAAGTATTTTTTTAGCCCAATTAACATAGACCGTTCATTTTGGTGAGATGTTTAGATCTAGGTCTTAGAAGGTTTTTTTCATTTTCAACCTTTTTGGTTTTTTTCATTTTCAACTTTTTTGGATGGCTTTATATCATTAGATAAACAATGTTAAAAAAGAAAAAATAATTTTGAGTTTATAAAGGCTAAAATCTTGATATTCACAAAATGAATGGTCTAGATTCGTTTTTGGAGGGAACTCATTTTGACCATATTTAGGGTTTAAAATAAATTTTTTTTTTTTGGTATTGATTATTGAGATGAAGAGAGTGTGTGCAAAATTTAAGGTTATACAAATACCATAAACATGGTTTCTAGAAGTATCATTAGATTATACTATAATACAACCGTTGCATTGGATCATTGCTCTCACATATAAGCTTCAATTGAATCAATGCACAGACAAATTTTAGATAAAATAATTCAGACAAAAATAAAACACACTCTGAATCGTTCAATCAAAACAAGATAGCCCAGTGTCTAACTGAAGAAACTATTCACCATTAGGCTACAATCTGGCGGTAGTTTTTCACATAAGCTCGTGTGTATATGTGTGGAAAATCTATTGCGAGTAGCCAGACTTAATAATCCAACTCAATTTTTCATAGATTTAGGATGTAAAACACATCTTAAATCAAAATACAATTCTGGCTTAAATCCATCTCTTTGCCGCTTTGAAAATGGTCCAGATATACGTGAAGAAGCATAATAAAAAACAGGGCAAAGAAAAGTTAGAAAACAAAAATTTATGCATCTATATTTCATAGTTCCATTCTCTCTCCTCTCTCTAGAAATCTCTTCTTTCTCTCTAGCTCGATACCAGGCAGTGGAACATGCAACCTAGGATTTGAGATGGACCCGAGGGCTTAGGGGACAAAAGAAAAGAAAAGCTTGTTCTTCAATTACTGTTTATAGGGAAAAATAAAAGAAAAATTGTTTCATGCAACAGGGGCTGCATTTCTATATTTGTGGTCCTCTAGGTATAAAGCATCCATATTAAAGTTGGATGCAAATAGGTGGCCCATCTAAAAACAATTGAAACTAACGGTCCAATTTTTTTTAATATAATTATTATTTTTAATTGTCAATTTATTTACTTTTTCATATTCATGATCTCTACGTTAGAGATTACATGTCCTTGAAAATCAGGTCAAAAGATTCATCTCAAAAATAGATTTCTATGAGGTGACTCATTTCTAAGACTCATAAAAACCATGTCCAAAATAAAAAAGTTATCAATGGGATTGGTCAGCCTATTTGGTTTTCTAGGACAAACTTCAAGGTTCAAACCTTCGATCTCCCTCACCTGAACCAACCAATATGTCTACAACTTATATGAGTATTTTACAAAATGTTTGTATCTAATCCGAACAATTTATAAGAAAGGGGCTGGGTAGTGGTGGCACCCCGATTCTCAGTTCCCACGTTGTGGTGTCCAATCCCACAGACACCTTCAAGGACACATTTTATTATTGGATATGTCAGCAGCAAGTAAATGTTCCAAAGGAAGCTAAAAGTCAGATTACAGGAGTTCATACCACCTTAGTTTTATTGTCGCATGTTTCTTTAACTCAATCGCCCAAAACTTCCCCCTCGTAATAAATCCCATCCACTCCTCTCTAAGCAATAAATAAATAGAAAATGCAAACTAAAATCAACCCTTCTTTGTCTGCCTGTGACGTTGTTGCCAATTTCAGGAGAGCTCCATCTCCAAAGGTATTTTACACACCATCAATATCTTTGGCCATTCCCAAACTTCAGGTTACCGTCAATCCCACAAACAAAATTTAAGCTTTGCATTTACCATGCTGCATTTTTGTTTCTTGATGACTTTTGCTGCCACAATCTTTTTATGATTCACCAAGATCTCCTTGAAGATGACCCAACAAAAGAAACACAATGGTTTCCTAAGAAGTGTAAGTCCCTCTAGAATTATCTATGTGAATGGAATAATATTTTGTTATTGATTTAATTTTTCACTTGACAAATAAAAATACATTTAGGGCATGATACATGTACTGCATCACCATCACCGGTCACTAACAAGCAGAATGCAGGAGCAATCCAAAAAGCCCAATCATTTACGATTAATTGTCCCCACTTTGTCGGGGTTATGAAGAGGTCATTAGTTTCTACCATGTTCATGGTGGAAAGTATTTCTTTATGTTTCCGATAAAAAATTTTATACACATGCCTTTACATACAATTTCCGATAAAAAATTACATGTTCTATCAAAAAAAGAAGCAAACACTCACCACCATGTATGCAGTAGAACTAATGTGCGCCTCATACCAGGACAAAGTGGGGACAATTAGTCCTAAATAATTGGGCTTTTTGGATTGCTCCTTCCTTCTGCTTGTCAATGACCAGTGACGCAATTGAAATACATGTGTCATGCCCTACATGTCTGTTAAGTGAAAAAATAAATCAATAACAAAAGATTATTCCACAGTCACATGGAAGGATAATTCTAAAGGGGACCTACGCTTCTTAAGAGACTGTTGTTTTTCATCTAAACGAAGTGGGTTCTTAGAGACCCAACCATAGATAATACATTGAAGATCCAAGGAGTTCAAATCATCAAGATGACCCAACAAAACACAATACATAGACGATCCTATTTTCAGAAGCAATTATTGAAGAAACCATGCCTTAGTGGCAGAGATTGTTTAATGTGCGAGACAGACGCCACTACAGTCGAGTTTGGTGGCAGATGGAGTGAGGGAGGGAAACAACTTTCTCTCTTCTTTCTGGACTCAAAAGGAAATCAGCAACCACGTTAGGCAGCATTCTGGATAAGAGAATAACAAAACCAAATTATCACATTAAAAATTATCCCAATCTTACGCAAAGAAAGAAATGTTGCAGATAACACAAAATGATTGACACAAAGAGGGTCCCCAAGATGGATATGCACAACTCTGCTGCAATTTACGAGATATTACCGGTCATGGAAAAAATCCAGATGTTCTCCAATAACAATAATGATTTTACCAATAAAATAAAAAAATTGTGCCATGAAATAACAATCTATATTTGGGTTCAGGTATGTTCCTTTACCTCTCCTTCTTATAGGAAGTTATTTTGAGTTGAAGATTGGAGTCTATACATTCTAACAAATGAGATATGACTTTACATTCAGCACAAAAGCCACTCAAATGTGTGTACCCAGTGTTTTGAGATTTAAGAGGATCCTGGACAATCATAAAGTTACATAAAATATATTCTTAGATGTTAAAGGCATAGAAGCCAATCAAATTTAAGAGGAACATGATCAAAAGGGAAATTACAGAAAAGATAACTTTTTATTGTAATTTTCTTTTTGAGAAATTTCTGCAAAAATTTAGGTGTTCAGATTTTTAAACTTCCCACATTCACCCAATATAATGTTTCACGTGCGAGACAGACTCCATTGTAGTAGTTTCAAAGCACCAAGATGACCCAACGAAAGAAAAGAATGCAATTATTGAAGAAACCACGCCATAGTGGCAGAGATAATGTTTCATGTGCGAGACAGACTCCCCTGCAGTCGAGTTTCAGAGCACCAAGATGACCCAACAATAGAAAAATACATCGGAGAGCCCATCACATTTTCAGATGCAATTATTAGAGAAACCACGCCTTGGTGGCAGATGGAGTGAGGGGGAGAGAGAGAGAGATACCAGAGATGAACTAGGTACAGAGTGCCAAGGAACATCACGAAGACTCCATTTTTTTTTGAAAAATTATAGCTAAGCATATCCATTAAAAAAATGTGCAAATAATACATACAAGCAGACATGTAATTTTAACTGCATGGGCTTCGGTCAATTACCACCATCCTACAATCCAATCATATAAATTGTCCCTCATTGAAAATATTCAATAAAGGCCCTGCAAATCCCAAGTTCCTACACCAAGTTCCTACACTAGTTCAAATCAATTTAGATTTTCTCCCTTTCTATGTCCCCTATTTTCACTTTCTACTGATCTTAATAATTATACAATATATCCCTCATTGCTAATAAACTATAAAACATGCAGTAGATGATTTACATTCATTAACAGAAACTAACCACTTCCAATTTGTAAATAGGCTCAATCTAAGTAGCTAATTACATTTCCCTGAAGCAACAAAGCTATTTTATATCATCTTTATGGAAGCTTGGATACCTCATTTTTTGTTTTTTCCTTTTTTTGGACAAGAACAGAGGAACTGCCAAAATAAAGATGGTGGAAATTGGTTTAAGAGGTGGCTCACAAATTTGCAGAAATCTATGGAACTTTTCATGGATTTTCAAATGATCCATCAAATAAACACAAGTGTCACATCCAAAAGGAAAGAAACTTACCATTAGCAGCCTTTGCTGCTGTTACACCACTATCACTGTCAAAGATGCCGAATAGTCCAAACTACATACATAAAGGTGTCAGTAGAGGAGAGTTAGGAAAAGGAATGCCAAATTGCAAAACATTATAAACAATACCCTATAAGTTCCTTCATTTAAAATAAAAATTGTAACATTACTTTTACCCTTCGTAAAACAAATAACTCTATAAGTATTCTAACCACTTTTCTAAATATTTTTTCAAATTTTAAAAAATATAAAAAATCCTAGAATCCCTAAAATAACTTAAAACCCCAAAAAAAACAACCTTAGAAATTCCAAAAAATACATCCTACAAATTTAATAGAAAAAATAAGATACAACTTGTCTTGCTCTAATACCAATTTGATGTAGGAAAATAGAGAAAAGAGGCCCAAAACAGTTCAATAACCATAAAAACAGGCCATATTCAAGTCGATTTGGCGTTCCTTGTACAAAAAAGTGACCACAAAACCCTAGATAGGTCTTGCAAGCACTATTTGCAGTCTGTTTTTACTCTTCATGCCCCAAAAGTACTAGAAATCCTAACACCGTAGGTTCTTTTATTGCATTATGATAAAAAAAGGGACCAAAACTACCCCACTTAAGTTAAAACAATATAAAAATACCCCATAAATCCTTGCACTTAAAATAGAATTTGTCCCTTCACTTAAAATAGAATTCGTAATGTTACTTTTACTCGTAATAAAACAAGTAACTCCATAAGTATTCTAATCACTTTTATAAAGATCTCCTAAAATCTTAAAACAATATAAGAAATCCTAGAATCCCTAAAGGAACTTAAAACCCCCAAAAAAATTAACCCTAGAAAATTCCAAAAATATATCCTCAAAACTTAATAAGAAAATTTCCAAAATAAGATACATCTTGTCTTGCATCATCAACTTTGCATCACAAGTTCTAAAGGATCAATTCAAGAAGATCAACTATTGCAATAAAACGAATTACTCACTATGCAGACAAAATTACCATGAAATCTCCTTCACATCTAAAAATAAAATCTAAAAAAAATCCCAAAAAACATAAATCAAGGTCATTCTTCATTACCTGGTTCGAGATGTCAATCATTCCCGATGCTTACAGTTCTTCGTAATCTGCGTTCAAGAACTTGCTCGACCATAACTTCCTGCTCAGACCCTTTTTCCCAATCAATACTTCAATACATATAACATGCATAACTATTGTACCATAAGTTCTTTTTTTTTCTATAGCTGCCAATGAAAAGGTCATGGCTTACGTAAAGTAAATAACATGGAGGACTACAGTAGTAAAGGCTCTCAGAGTGGTAATACGTGCTCGAGTAATTGCTCAAATGAATATTGTAATTGTTGAAAGAAGCATATCAGCAGTGTCTGAGTGCAGGAATACGAGTTAAAGAGGGGCATTTTTTGGATATAAAATGGCTACACGTAATCAAGGACTTTGTCCTTAGAGAGACAATGTTGCTTTTCTGCAAGCCCTCTAGATAATCAAGGACCATAATTATCACAAATATTGACAGAATGTGGACCATCATTATCACAAATATTGACAGAATGTGGACCATAATTATCACAAATATTGACAGAATGTGTAATATAAAAGGGTGTGGTTTCTATAAGGTTGCAACCTTAAACAATCCAATTAAGGCACACTTCCAAATTTTATCATAACATGTAATTTTGGTATAAAAAATTATTAGGGTTATCTTAAAATCCATTTTCATATTTAATTATAAAATTTTAAACTCTAAATATGGTTAAAATCAAGTAGATCTATAAACATATGAAAATCTTGAAAATGAATGGTCTAGATAATGTGTTGGAAGGTGCACTATTTACGGGACTCAAAATATTCTTTTGTTTTTTTTTATATTCATGCATCGATGTCGAGATGATCAATTAGAGGGTTTTTCAAAATAAAACAATCTTTTCTAATGGATTTTTGAGGTGCATATATAATTCTACATTTTAAGGTTGCAACCTTATATAAAATTTTTCCAATATAAAAAGGAAAAAGTTTATATAAGGTGTCAGCCTTATATTATAGACATAAGGCGCACCTCAAAAACCCACTAGAAGAGAATGTTGAGATGCCACTAACCCTCCAATTGATCATCTTGACCTCGAGATATATGGATATGGGGAAGAAATGATTTCAAGTCCCGAAAATAGTGGATCTTGCAACGCATTATTTGGATCGTCCATTTTAAGAAATGTGAAGTGTTCATAGATATACATATCTACATCATTTTTAGGGTTTTAAATTTCATGATTAGGGGCAAAAATAAATTGTTAGGCCACCACAGAGATTTCCAGCAATAGAACTACATCTTTTGGCACAATTTAGTAGTACTTTGCTTGTTTAAGGTTGGCACCTTATACAAACCAAACCCTTATAAAAAAGCATTTTTCTACCCCTTTTACCTTAATAAATTACTTTTCCACTACATTACAAAGAATTATGAGGCCTGATCAAATAATTGAAACCTTAACCATGGAGTATAAAATAGCATGAGATAAAAAATCCAAGTTTCTTTGGCATGTGCTAAAAGTTGGTGATCCCATGCAAGATTTTGAGGAATTCCAAGTTCATGTAATAATGGCACTAGGAATAGATCAGTGTTCAAAAAGGTATAGGTGTCCACCTAGGTGTTTTGGGGGCTTGGCTGCCTAGGCGGCCGGATGCCTGCCTAGGAACAGGGACGGGTGGACCATTAATTAAGAAAAAAGTTATATTATAATTATTATCCATTAATTAATATCTATAAGATTTGGTTTTGGATATCAAATATTCACAAAATATCAATTTCATCCAAAGTTTATGACTGTTCACAAAATATAAGTCCAAATTGGTATATGTTCCATCTAAAAATATGTACACATATCAAAAAAGTAAAACAAAACTAAGAGGATATCAAAACATCACATATCGTACAAAATAAGAACCAATTATTTATAAAACAATTTGATATAGGACCAATTTCTTCGTTCAAATGAGTTAATAATCAATAAATCACAAAAAATAAATAAATCAATCTTTCAACTAAAAAATGAAAATATATCACAAAAGGAAATTTTTTAAAAAAAAAATTAAATTAAATGATTCAAAACATAATACGTTATAGCAAAAAAAATCAAAATATTCAGATGTCATACTGAAATAATACTCTAAAAATATCAAAATCAAATCTATGTTGGTGCAAACCCCATCTATTGAGTCGCCAAAAGTCCTCAAAATCGACTACTAGAAGCTCCAAAAATACCCACGAACTATTGCCTTTGTTTTGGGAAGAAATCGAAAAAATCGAAAATGTATCGATCATTAGATAAATCACAAAAGAGAGGTTTTTCGGAAGTTTTTCTCTCTCTAGATGGCACGGATTTGGTTTTGGGGGTTTAGAATGTCCCCCAAAATTCTTTTTCCCCCTTTTTAGGGGAAAAATGACAAATTTTGACCCTAGTCAGAGTGTTTTTTCTACCATTTGACAAATTGTCTCGAGGCAGCACCTAGACGTGAGCTGCCTAATTGTCCCGCCTAACTAGCGCCCAGACATTTTAGGAATTTGGCCACCTAGGAATTTTCCAACATTGGAATGGATGTAACTTATCATAATCTAAATCCTGAACAAGATGATACATTGGAGAATAACTATTACAGACCTATTAGTCATGTTGGTATTGTAACACTCCAATAGGAGTGGTGCATCAAAACTTCAAAACTCGATGCTGCCAAGTGAATGGCACCAGTTATTTTTTCCTTATACATTATTGAAGATGCACTTGATGACATTAACTAGACAAATAACCTATGTAACTTCAAAACTGACAGAATAACAAATTCGTAATGAAACCCCAATACAAGCCATCATTAGCCTACAAGTCAATCATCCAAAACACGTACAAATGAAATAGTCTACTCATGATAAGCTATAAAGAACCATCATACGGATCTCAACATGGTGAACAAGATGTTCTCTCTCCAGATAACTTTTTATTATTATTGAAGAGTCATGCATCATTTGAAAGATATACTAGTTCACCATCATTTGTTATATTAAACTTAACCCCCTCAGGCTTAAGATATTGATGAAATCAATACAATCTACTGTAGACAATAGGACAAACAATGTCTCATTGGTATTCAAGACCCATGTTGGAAAAACCAGGCGATCTAACCGGTAACCGCCCGGTTAGATCAGAACCGACCACTTGCCAGTTGCGGTTTTGGTGATCAACCGGTATTTAAAAAAAAATTCAAAGAAATATATATAAAATCTAAAAAATAAGGAATTTGATTTGTAGTACATTTTTTAAGATTCTTTACATTATGGTAAAGATTAGAAATTGTTTTGGTCCTTAAAACTCATTTTTATATTGTCCCATCTTTTTCGAAATTTTTTAAAAATACCCCTAGGCAACTTTAAAATCTATTTTTTTCATTAATTTTCAACTTCATTTGAAT